GAAAGGGCCAAAAAATCAGGCTCTGACACGGATCCCTCCCGATCCAGCCAATCCTTCCATCGATCCACCCCCCACCGAGCCCCTCTGCCTCGATCCACCAGGCGCCTAGCTTGCAGCAGCCAGCGCATAGGAGAGGAGCTCCTTGATCCCCTTGACTCCGACCTCTGCGCCCCGGCCTCGAGCTCGACCCCACTTCATCGCCCGATGACCAGCGCCATTGTCGGCAACCACCACCAGGGCGCAGCCCCGCCTCCCTTCCATTCTTCTCTTTTTTTCCTTCGTCCCTCATCTCGTTTCTGACCTCATAGAGACCTCCCAGGGAGCCCGCCATGGCGTCCAGGGGGGCTTCAGGCACCAGCAGCCGCTGTTTCATGCTGGATCCACCATGGGAACAGACGGATCCATCGTCCCCGACCCCATGACCTCCTCCTCCGCGCCTCCCCATCATCATCTCCGGCGCCAAGCCGCCTCCAAGCTCTGCTTCGCTGGAGTTCCCGCGCCAAGCCGCCTCGGCCTCCTCCAACCCCGCCGAGGCGTGCCACCACAACTACGACCAAGACCCTCCCCGTCATGCAGCCCTTCACCGGAGTCCCAGCCACACCAGGCCGCTGCTGCATCCCCTGCTTCTCGTCGCGTCGGCCTTTGCTTCCTCTTCATCGAGCACGGACTCGCTCGTTCCAGCGTGCCTCCGTCCAGCACCAAGTTCCCCACTCCCGGACCCCGCTCGATCCCGTTGACCGCGCCTCCACACGCGGACCGCGGTCCTCCCAAAGCCCAACCGCGCTTCTTCGCTTCCGGCCCGAGAGCCCGATGTGAGCAGCCACACAAACCCCCCTGTGCACTGTTGGGCCAGGCTGCAGATTCAGCCCAGTGTAGTTTTTTTCCGTCTCTGCGATTTTTCCTAATAATCCAAAGATTGTATATTTACAAAAAAGTCCTTCATGTTCATGCATATAATAACTAATAAACCGAGCATCGGATTAAAATGTTTTATATATGTAAAATGCTTAGAATTTCATCTAGTTTCATAATATCCAACTTTCATGCATGTTTAAAATGCTTAAAATTGATGTTTGCATTAATTTGCACAATTGACATGCTAAAATGGTTTATTTCATAACTAAATAACCGTAGCTCTGAATTAAATAAACTTTATGTGTAAATGGGGTAGAAAATGCATAGATTAACATGGTGGCTTTATTTTGCTGTTTAAAAACATTAAAATATGGTTTTAGGCAGAACAATACCAAATCCAAAATATGCATATGAGGATTTTTCGGAATTGTTGTTTGTTGTTACGACGTCATTTAAACTTGCATAAATGTGTAGTTTACATATGCTTCACCTCTTTCCATGTTTAACAACATTTAATATTGTTGGGTACATAAATGAGAGCGAGCTAAATATTTGAATGTGGTGTTTTGTCAATATGCAACTCGTTGCATATTGAGCTCCACTTGATTTGTAGTATTGCTTATTGCACTTTGCCATGCCATGACTCATTAAACTGGACATGCATCATACTTGGTTGTGCATCATGCCATGATTATGCTTGTTTGTTTACCATGTTGTTTGCTTCTTTCCGGTTGCGCTTCTCCTTGGTAGTTCCGATTACGTTGCGATTGTGAGGATCCGTACGACTACGTTGGTTCGTCTTCTTCATGGATTCAGTCTTCTTCCTAGCGGGTTTTCAGGAAAGATGATCGTTACCCTGGATACCACTACTATCTTTGCTTTGCTAGTTGTCTCGATGTTATTGCTATGCCGTGCTACCTACCACTTGTTTATCAAGCCTCTCAAATTGACATGATGAGCCTCTAACTTTTTCACCATCCCAAAAAAACGTTGTTTGGCTATGTTACTACTTTGCTCAGCCCCTCTTATAGCGTTGCTAGTTGTAGGTGCAGTTGCAGGTTGTTCCATGTTGGGACATGGATATCATGGGATATCACAATATCTCTTATTTAATTAATGCATCTATATACTTTGTAAAGGATGGAAGGCTCGGCCTTTTGCCTGGTGTTTTGTTCCACTCTTGCCGCCTTAGTTTTCGTCATACCGATGTTATGTTCCTTGAATTTTGCGTTCCTAACGCGGTCGGGGTTTATGGGCCCCCCTTGTTTCTTCGTCTAAAGTAAAGCTTTCTCGAGGAGATCCAACATTGGTTTTACCATTTGCCTAATAACAACTAAAACTTGCATAGGGACCGGCTAGCACCCGAGGTCTCTTAATCAACCCCCGGGCCAGTGCTCCTCATGAGGGTTGGTCCACCTACCTAGCAGTCGGCGGTGCCGCCTCAGGGCAACTTGATGGTATTTTGGCTATCGTCCACTTTGCATAGACGGATGAGTCCGTAGATAGAGAGCACGGCTCTGGACACGGATCTGACTCACCGGGAGATCTCCTTGGGATAGTTTTCCTTTCTTCGAAGAGCTTATGCACCGGGATTCCGAGGTTACTCGGGGTGTCCCGGGATGGAGGATTGTCTCCGCGGATCGTGAGAGCTTATCATGGGCTAAGTTGGGACACTCCTGCAGGGTTTAAATTTTCAAGAGCCGTGCCCGCGGTTATGTGGCAGATGGGAATTTTTAATATCCGGTTGTAGAGAACTTCACACCAGATCCGAATTAAAATACACCAACCGCGTGTGTAACCGTGACCGTCTCTTTTCGAGTGAGTTCGAGAAGAGAACATGGTGGGGTTATGTTTGAACGTAAGTAGTACATGATCACTTCTTAATCATTACTAGTTTGTGACCGTTTGCGTAGCTTCTCATCTTACTCTTGTACTCGTAAGTTAGTCACCATACAATGCATAGTCGCTTGCTGCAACCTCACCACTTATCCATTCCATACCCATTAAGCTTTGCTAGTCTTGATACCCATGGTAATGGGATTGCAGAGTCCTCGTGGCTCACAGATTACTACAACAATAGTTGCAGGTACATGTTAAGCGATGCTTTGACGTGAGAGCGATGCTTGATTACTTTTGGAGTTCTTCTTCTTCGGTCAAGGGATAGGTTTCGGGTCGGGAGCTTGGGATTAGCAGGGTGGATGTTGTTCTTCTTTTTTGCTTGATTTCATCCGTAGTTGGATCCTGCTCTTATGTATGATGATTGCTATGTATTGATGTTGTAGCTTGTGGCAAGTGTAAGCTTTATCTTGTATTCTCATCTATTCAGTACATGGTATGTTGTAATGATATTCACGTTGCTATGCGCTCGAAATGCGGTTGTGCCCCAATCATGAATTAACCACGTGATTGGGATAGAATCGCATCTTGAGCGCTACAGCCAACGAGTGAATCACGAGAGATTTTGCACTCAGAAACCAGGAGCATATCTCCTTGCACTTGGCCAACAAAAACTCATCCCCGACGCAAAACAAATCCATCGCCCTCTTCCAGCTTGGACCTGCTTGCCATCAATCAAACACCAAATTTGCAAATCAAAGAATTAAAAACGAATTTGATTATTCGGATCAAAATCACCACAAAACAATCTAAAATGGGCTCCATTCAACAAAATCTAATTTTTAGGGTTTTTTATTTCAAAACTAGTTGCCATTAGTACCGCTGGCAGGAATCCAATCCTAAATAGATGTCCATACTGATTGCAAACTGGAGCAACTCAACGCATGTCAATTCAATCGCCCATTTAATCGACTTAAAACCGAATCCTAATTGCTAGGGTTTCGATTAGAACGTATCGTTCAACCAATGATCTCGAATGGTTCTGGCAATATGGGAGGAAGGGTTGCCCGGTAGAACCACAATCCTGCGCCATCGGAGCTCGGGCAGACGGTCGGAGTGATCGGTGGGAATGCTAGGGGGCACGGCGGCGGCAGTGTGGGGCTGGATGGAGGATGGGGCGGCTCACTCGGGGTCTGGCTGATTTAGGCAAAAGAAAGTGATAGGTCAGCGAGCCAGGTCCCCCTCGCCATAAGCGGTGTCACAGCCCACTTGTTATGTGCGGCCCTACACGTTAGTAACTGAGCAGGTAACAGTCAACTGCTTTGACCAGACGGCAAGGCTCCGTTTGGTTCTTTGTGAGCACGGGGTGAGTGGTGGAGGGCACAAGTAAGCACAAGTTAGAGCACTGGACAAAATTAAGCACAACTAAGAAAGGAGGGGCACAGAAATAGAAATCCCAAAATTCAAATGGTATCCCATACATTAGACCAAAGGCCACATGGGTTAGAGTAATGCATGCTCCACGCAAGGAGGCATGGGAAAAAAGGTGCTCGAGAGGATTCCAGCAGCGATAAATTCATGTAAGGTTGTAGGGCAACAATGACTAACTGACTGCTATAAATAAATAAATCTGCAATAGTAAAAATATAGAAATGAAGTGTCATTATGAGTTTAAAACACATATAAAACTACAATATATATAGGGAAACTATAATAATAAACCATAAATATTGTTTGTTGAAAAAGGAAACCATATGATTTTTTCTAAAGGATGAATGATTAGGTGTATCATCTAGCTGTCACTGAAACAAAACAAAAGGAGAGAGATCATACTTTTTGGCTTCGAAGAAGAGATTAGACTAAATTAATGTTTTTCTTTTAAATTTAATTCAAACTAGACCAAAGGAAAAAAAATCTACTGTAGTATGTTTCCAATCCTAAAAACCAAATAAACATTACCGTGCAAAAAATAAACATTGCAGGCAAAGTTCTAATAAAATACTTACTCCGTCTTAAAAATAAGTGTCTTACCTTTATACCAACTTCATTAAAGGAAGTGTACTACTAGTATTTCTCAAAGATTCCTCAGAATTTCTTAATCAAAAGTAACTCTGAAAGCTCCGAAAACGAATTTTCAAGGCTGGCCAGAGCCCCAACCACCCGAGAAGCGGTGGTGGTGAGCGGCGAGTCGTCAGTTCAGTCAAACTTCCATATAAGAAACGGAGCTGCTCCCCTCCACCGCCGCACACGCGAACCAACCCCGCCCCCACCTACCTTCCGTTACACGCTGCCGCTGCGCGCGCGTCGCCATGGTAGCAGCCATGGAGGAGCAAGCGTCCAAAGGAGGCTCAGAGGAAACTTTCGCCGTCGTGAATCCTGCGGGCCAGGCCGCCGTCACGGGGTCCGGCGACGGCGCGAACCATCAGACCGGCGAACACGACGCGACGATTACGAGGCCGCTGCCGCCCCGTAGTAATAATTATGGGGCCGTCGTCATCGGCGGCACCTTCGACCGCCTGCACCGCGGCCACCACCTCTTCCTCCAGGTCCGTCCGTCCGTCCGTCCTCTCCCCTGTCAAATGATCTCATCTCGCCGCGCCGGTCGCCGCTGGCAAACTGAACCCGTTCGTGCTCCGATCGCATGCCGGCCAAATTGATCTCCGTTCCCGCATCAGGCCCGTCGATCGATCCCCTCGAGAGCACCCGCTCTGCTTCTTCCGTCTGAATCGCATGTTTTCCTCCGTGAATCATAGCAGAGCCATGTGCTATCTCTAGACGGGACAAAAGGAAAACACTAAACTGGGCGTGTGATGTATGTGACAACAGGCGGCGGCGGAGCTGGCGAGGGAGCGGATCGTGATCGGCGTCTGCGACGGCCCGATGCTCGCCAAGAAGAAGGTTAGCTCAATCTCATTCCTCGTTAATTTGTCACCTGCCGCTGTACATTTTCAACCCATCGATCAACTCGCTAGCGTCCTTTCGATACGTCCAAATTAACTAAGAGGCTGATAAACGTCGTGCGTCTGGTAAACACATGGCAACTCGAAACGTTTTTATGACAAGCTTAGTGACGCGAGAATGACAACTCACGGAGCGTTTTTTTGGTTGTTTTTTTTTCTTTTCAGACGGCAACTTTAGTTTAGAAAACATCAAGGCCGGATTGTTTCGTGCGACACAGACAGCACTTATCATTTGGGTTAATTAATTTTACGAGACATAGTAGCACTGAAAAAAGTACTGCTACGGTGCCGCTGCTGCTGCCGCATCAACTTTTGAATAAAGTTTGAGAAGACGTCTCAACTCGCATGACATGCCAACTACTGTAGCTGACGCTGCTCCACATCTACATGTCCTCCTAGCTGTTGGTCATCTCTCAGCTCATACCAACCGAATCCTCTCTGGTATACAAGAAAACGGGGAAGGATCCGTTCTGTCGTCCCATGCAATGCCACTTGAGTGCATAATTTGGGGGCATTGGAACCCTTAAGAAGTTTTTCTATGTAGCATTTCGTTGCACTATATTACAAAAAACCATGAATTGACTCAAACCTCTTGGAAATAATCATCTGTTCCTAAGGTTCAGTAAGCAGGTAATTTTTGGTAGAAATTCAGCCGTGTATGGTACAAATGAGCATGGTATGTTAATCCGGCACTTACTTTTTTCTATTTCGTACGCTCTTGGAAGCATGCTAATCAAAGTAGGGAGGCCCTAAGCGTGTCACTATCATAAAAAGAATATGTACATTGATAAGTAGTTGAGCAGTACCCTTAGCAAGCAATCTTCCATTCTACGAATACAACCGGGCAACTACACAAAATTCAATGAATGTGGACAGGGTGTTGAAGCTCCATGGGCACCTGACACACACCTCTGGTAGGGTTACTCAATCATTGGTTGAGCTGCATATGTCTACCTCAAAGCATCAATTATTAGTTGAATTGCATACATTCTCTTTGTAAAAGCTGCCTAGCTATTGGTCATGGCATCTAGATTTATTCTAGATAAAATCTGTGCATATGTCTGATGGCCATCTCTTGTTTTTGGTGGTTCGTTTGCACTTTGCAGTATGGTTACCTGATACAACCAATCGAGACGCGGATGGAAAATGTCAAGGATTATATCAAGGTATCTTTCACCCAATCGTAAAAAGTCTCTTGTTCCTCAGCCTATGTAACACCTGAACTCAGCTCGCTAGATTAATAGGTAGTACTCGCTTATGTATAGCATCAATCTGCATTTTGGTACTAGAAAGTGACAATTACCTGGGCCCTGCTTCTTGCACCATTTTCAGCCAGTAAGCCTGAAATTTAGCTTCGCGTCTTGTCATATATCTGATACATTTCGCTGTCAACTTGCTAGTCTGTCAAGCCGGATCTTGAGGTTCATGTCGAACCAATCATCGACCCTTATGGCCCCTCCATTGTCGACGAGGCTCTCGAGGCGATCGTTGTCAGGTTAGGCTTCTTAATAGCCCGGCTTGCTTCTTTTTTCTAACAGGATTTCTATTTTTCTAGCACAGCGAAGTATCATAAAAACTAATCTCTATTCTCTACACAAGTGTGAAATATTTAATCTGTCATTATTTCCATGCAATTCTCGGACCAGCAAGGAGACATTGCCAGGAGGGCATGCTGTCAACAGGAAGAGGGCCGAGAGAGGCCTCACACAGCTGGAGGTTTGGTTGCAACATCACTAACTATTTGCTCCAGAAAGTACACCTTCTAGGTAGGTGCTGCAAGATGACAAACTGATTTTTCCTATCATTTTCCTAGATTGAGGTGGCGGAACTAGTGCCAGAGAAATCTACAGGAAACAAGATCAGCTCTACAGCATTCAGAAAGATTGAGGCCGAAAAGGCGCTGCAGCAGCAAATGCTGGACCAGCAGGAGGAGCAACAAGCAGTTGAGTTGGAGTGCAGGACATAGCCAGCCATCCTATCATGTCAAGTTCAGCTGGCAGATTAATGCAATTGCAAATCGTCTACTTACAAGTTCTACTTTACATACAAAAAATGTATATGAAGGAGTAATATATATGCAAAAGGATAGCAGCAGAGCACTTTTTTGGCTCTTGTAAAAATGGGCACCAAGCTTAAGGATTTACACAATTTTCTCAAACAAGTAATCTATCTATCTATCTATCTATCTATCTATCTATATACCTGTACTAATTCCAGACTTCCTAGAAATTCCCACGTAAATTAGATTTTACGAGCCGTTCATCTAGCGTGGGACCGAATTATTACGGTGTAGATCCAACGATAAAATCCTCCTAAGCAAAAAAAAGCGCTTTTCTCAGCTGTAAACAAATAAGAAGAAAAAAATAGCAATCTATCTATTACTACCATCCAACTTGCACGACCAAGTTAATAACGGCCCACTCTCACGTCCCTCTCTTGAAAAGAGTCCAAGTTTTGTACAATGGCCCACCATCAAACTCTCACGTCTCTCTCTTGAAAAGAGTCCATGTTTTGTACAACTGCACCACGATCTAGATTAAATATAGTCCATGTTTTATACAACTTGCACCAGATTTCCACGTTAATTCCTTGCTACCCCTACGCTGAAAGACAACCCATATCTCTGTTCGTCTTGAAGGTCGCCTCCACATTGATTAGTCCATGGATTTCAATGGTGCACCAAGCCTGTTATTTCCTGCGCCATGAAGCTTCCACTACTCGACTGCCCCTCCCGGTACGTTGTCATCGGTTACTGCAATAGCCGCCTTATGCTTCTCTGGTACTCCGCTGCTCGCACTCCTCGCAACAGGGATAGATTGATCCAGGTTTGATCTACTACCATACATGCGCCACGTTAATCGGAGAAATTAGAGAAATTCACAAGCACCACTCTTAGTGGTATCGGTTCCTCAAAAAAAATATAGTGGGATCGAATTATAACGGCCAGATTTAGTCCCCAAAAATTGATCTATAATATATCTATCAACGGACTCAATACAAAACCTCACGTTCAGACTTTTAGATGCAAAGTTTCAGAAAAAAATATTTGTTGGCGTACAATAAATAATTTTTTTTCACATGGGTTACCTACATGCATGAAAAAAAAAGAAACTAACTTTAATTATCTCTTTTATATGAAAATAGCAGGCCTGGTTTATCTCCTGAAAACGTGCAAGGCATGCAGAAGGTTTCCTAAAAAATGTTGTATACGCATGCATGCAAAAACAGAAAAGAAAACTAACTTTCAATGATCTCCTATAGAGACGTGCAAAGGAAAAGGCTTTGCTTGTGAGTCGTTTAAATTTAATCGCAGCTGACCCTACAAAAAAATTAATCGCAGCTGATAACCATCTCTTTGTGATCTGAGGATCTATTCTTCTCCATGATCTCCGCATCATCCTCATTGTGTACTACGATGATGGCAGCAGCCCATGTTTGCTTCGTCTCCAACCAGGAGTTCATCATGCGTGCATATACTTACCAACAGCAGCACTGCCTAGGATCCGCGTAGTCCCCTCCGGTGATAAAGTCTCCGTGATCTCCGCATCATCCAGGTTGTGCGCTACGCCGACGGTGGCAGCCTATGTTTGCTTCGTCTCCAACCACAAAATCATGTGTGCATACAGATACATTGCAGTGCTGCCCAGACTGCTCATACTCCCCTCTGACGATAGAGTCTTGCTGCCAGACACGACGATCTCACAAAGTGCTCTCAACTTGCCATCCAATGGCTGCTTACCGCGTGTCTGCCTTCTCCATTCGATGAGAAAAAGATTGACTGCTTGATATCGAGGTTTCCCAACAATAAATGGAACACATCAGATCAAAGCACGTAAGAGGAACTTGAATTCCTTTTGGTTAGTTCTTTCTCTTCCTGTAATTTTTGCATGGGCCGCCTGATGTGATACTTTGTATGTGAAGTTAAGAACACGACTGATATGATTTCGCTTTGCTGCATGGGATTTGATTATGGGAGTTTTAGATATGTTTGGACCACACATACATATACAATAGATGCAGATATGGTTGTTGCTTCCTTAGTTTATTGTTATTTTTATGTGTTCGGATATTTACAAACCTTATCTATGACATTGAATTATGTTGTTTTGCAGGATGTGCTCATCGACGCTCTGGATAGCAATTCTGATCGCCATTGACAATATATATCTAATTAGTTCTGCAAGATACTTGCCTTTTGTTTATCATCTGTATCTATAATGGTATGGAGGTCTCACGAAAGCTTACTAGAAAAAAGAGAATATCAATGCTTATAAGTTATTAGTTTTTCTTTGATTTACCTTCATTTAGCTGATACCCAACTACTCAAGATTTTAAGAGCATCTCTTTGCGAGCATTTTCATTTAGGTGAGAACTGATTTATATAGTTGTTGTGCATCGATATGGATACTTTATTTTTCTAATTATGTACTTCCTTTGAAGTTCAGCATATGTTTATATAATGTCACCATATCAGAACTTAGCAGATATCAAAAGATTTTAGCATATGATTTCTACCTCAGTTTTTACATTCTGAATTTATGTAATTTGCTGATACTTTGCTTCTCAGGTCTAAGTACACGCCCATTGTGAGAAATTTTCCTTTTCGGTTTTGCAAGGTATTGGCGATGTTCCAGTCTATTGCAGCAGATGACACTTTTGGTTAGATCAACCATTCATAATTGTCCAAAGTACTATCGTTTTGTTGGCAGAGGATTCTTATGGGGGCAAATGGCACACTTTATTTTAGTTTACTTTTCAGGCCAATGAAATTGCTGGAGTGGAAAAAATTGAGTGTGTATGTATTATTACTTTTAGTGGAACATACACCTACACCTTCCTGTACAAACTATGTTGTTGTAATAATAATTTCTGTATTCTAATAAGTTTTGGTTGGACACTTCAACTCTGTTAGAAAGTTTTTACTTCAGCTCTATTAGTAAGATTATACTGATGCACTGATTATCAGATTAATGTTCCTATGCAGTTAGATGAGTGAATCTTTTTTCATGTAATAAAAATATGGATGTTTCAGTTACAAATATTATTTCACAGTATCATTTGTACTAAAATAAAAAAATCCATGCTACATTTTTTCAGTATATCTCTTTTTAAAACCCGTTTAGCTTAACTATTTGATAGAGTTTGCATCATTACAATCGGTATACTTACCATATATATACTTCATGTATTCTTATTTGATGTATGTTTGTGGAGTTTATCTTAACAACATGTTGTACACTATTTATTGATGTTTTAAGCTAGAGTATATGATTTGATAATGAGATATCTGGAAAAAAAGACAGATTTAGTGTGTGCGTACCAATATTTTGACATCCATCATGAAGTAAGCAATCTTTTGAAAAATAACTTTTTATTTCAGAAATCATTTGCATCTATCACGAAGTAAGAACATTCATGTGGTACCTTACTATAGAACTTATTTGTTCTAAAATTCATTGCTGCTCATTAGAATAAATTTTCTTCCCGCAAAAAAATCTGATATTTAGCATTTATTGTCTTTTTTCAACTTAGTTATATTAAGTAAAGTCACATGCATTTGTTAGGTTCTTACTTGGATTTTTATACATGTCAAATATCCTTTTTTATGAATTTATTAATGATGTAATTTTAACGAGACATAGCCACGTTTTATTGGTTAAAGTTAAGGCCAGACTTGAATGTCGAAAAGAGTGTGCCTTCTTTTTGTAATCGGATTGATATTGTATATATATAGCAATTAATACTTTTGCAAAAAATAGTCAATACACAACTGACAAAAGGGAAATAACTAAGATTTTTGTCTACACTTAGTCAATACACAATGTAGAATTATTTGCAAAATACATGGTTAATTATGGAACAACCACAGATAACTACAGAATGAAAAAAGTACTAATTCATGAAGCTTCGGGACTAAATAGTCACTACCCTAAAAAATAACCAATCAATGAGTCAGCTGGAAATGCTCAAAAACAATTGGAAACAAAAATTAGTCCCATGTGTCTTAAATAGTAAACTGGACTCTAAATTTATATGTAGTTCATAATATCATATATTCATATCTTATATTAAAAAGTTAGCCCGTGCGAATGCACGGGTTGGCGACTAGTAAAGATAATGATTAGAAGGTTTCCTGATTCGTAACGTACACGAGGGTAGAAAAGTTTTTTTTCTAAGATACACCGATTACGACGCAGACGCACCTCATGGGTGGGCACTTCCAAACCAAAAACAAAAATCCAAACTGAACCATTTTAACCAAAATATAGGTTAAATTGATTTTTGGTTATTCAATTCGGTTTGGAAAATAGAAACTACAAACTAGTAGAAAACAAGGCTTTGGTCCAGGCCTGGCCAGCCCATTAGTTCCAGTTCAGTCACGAACCAGGGCCCATGGAGGCATACATCACGGTTCGTGTGCCCAGTGTTGGGGAACGTAGCAGAAATTCAAAAAATTTCCTACGTATCACCAAGATCTATCTATGGAGAGACCAGCAACGAGTAGAAAGAGAGTGCATCTACATACCCTTGTAGATTGCTAAGCGGAAGCGTTCAAGTGAACGGGGTTGATGGAGTCATACTCGTCGTGATTCAAATCACCGATGATCAAGTGCCGAACGGACGGCACCTCCGCGTTCAACACACGTACAGCCCGGTGACGTCTCCCACGCCTTGATCCAGCAAGGAGAGAGGGAGAGGTTGAGGAAGACTCCATCCAACAGCAGCACAACGGCGTGGTGGTGATGGAGGAGCGTGCCAATCCTGCAGGGCTTCGCCAAGCACCTACGGAGAGGAGAAGAACTTGGGAGAGAGGGAGGGGCTGCACCAAAGGCATAAGCTCTGTTTGGGAGGCCCTCCTACCCCACTATATATAGGGATCCCAAGGGGGGGGGTGCGCCAGCCCCTAGGAGATCCAATCTCCAAGGGGGCGGCGGCCAGGGGAGGAGTCCTCCCCCCCCCAAGGCA